AAATAAATAAAATTAAAAAATATATATATATCCTGCACAGAACTGCAATATAAAAACCAGATCAAGAGCTACAGCCACTCTGGCTGAAGAGTAGGTGGGTGACTCATGGCCCTGCCCCCTTAGGCACCTTCTAAGATCCAGGCTGAAAATCGCCTTCCAGCACTGCAGTTTGGAAGCCCAGGGATGTGCCTGATGCAGGTATTAAATATATTGGACAAATACAGTGCACAGGAACTACTCAGACATGCTCCCAGACCTAGAGTCCTCTGATCCCAGGCTATGCACAGGGCTTGGAGCAAAATGGAAAAGGCACCCCTCTGGAGGCTGAGGCCCCGTCTGCCCATCGCCAAAGGTCAGGCACAGAGATGGAGGCTGTTCTCCCCAGCAAGGGGCAGCAGGCCTGGAACTGGTTCACGGAGGTTTGGCCAGTGGCAGCCCAGCCCAAGGAGCCCGGGAAGGGGCCGCCATGCCCGGACAGCACACTCATCTCCCTGTAGGTCCTCGGGCCTTGCTGGGCTCAGCCATACGGACTGTGTGAATGAGGGGCTGAAAATCACAGAGGCTCCACCACAAGGCCAAGTGTTAGTGACAAGCTGAGTAACTGTCACTCTTCCCAGTCTATTCAACCTAGGCTGCCAGTGTGAGCTTACTACAACCAACCAACCAACCAACCCAGATCCAGTCTATTGTTTCTGTACATGCTTCATGTGGGGACCCCCCGCCAAATGAAGCAGAGCCCAAGCCCCTCAGCTCCACCCAGCCCCTCCCAGCTGAACTGCTCTAGCCAAATGCACTTAAGTGTAGCCTTCAGTGTGGCTTGCTTTTCTACCTCCACTAGGTGTCTTTGTGTAGAATACTCCTCCTCCTCCTCCTCCAACTGTCCATCCCCACACACCCAAATCCAACCAGCTCTCAGTAAATGTCCCTAGATGGCCCTAGACTTCCCCTCCCCCTCCCTCCCTTCACTGCACACTGTGCCACCGACTCGCCACAGGGCACCTCACACTGCACCATTTAATGCCAGGCGTGCCCCCCTCCGGGAGCATCAAGACGCCTTTGTCCCTTGCAGCTTCCTGTTCCCAGCAAACGTTTTTGGACACACAAACCAATGAACCATCTTTAGAGGGCTGCCAAGGATTCACCATTGTGCATTAAACATGTTGCATTTTTCCTAATCACTCTCTAAATGGTGAATCTTCTCAGCGCTGCAAATCCATCAAGGGCTCCAAGTGATTAGGAAACATGGAATTCAGGGGACTAAGGGGAGAGGAGCAGGGCTCAGAATGGCAGCCAGTCCGTGACTGTGGCCCAGAGCCATAAGGGGCAGTTAGCCTGGGGGCCCCCCTAAGGCAGCCACCATGCTGCGCGGGGTCCTCTGGGTATGGGCACGGGGACAAGCTGGGCACAGCAGAGCTGGGCTCTCTCTCGCTTCTCTCTCTCTAGGAGACATGGCCTCCTGGGAAGTTTCCTTTCCACCTAGTGCAGAACAAGACTTGCTCTTGAATAAGGTCTACACGTATGTAAACAATCGGCTTTTCCTTGTAGAACAGGGTGATGGCTCTGCATGGTGGCATGTGGGGAAGCTGCTGATTGGGGACAGAGTGTTTCCTCTATGAACACCCTCATGCGCTGACTGGGAGATTTTGCCTGTGCTCACTGGTTCTCCTCCTGCTGATTCCTGACATGGCCCCCCCAAACTTTCATGTGCTTAAATGAGTGCTCCGGGCGGCTCCAAAGGCGGCTGCGCTGAGCTTCTGTGTCTGTGCCCTCAGGGGCGAGGGGCTCTCGCTCATACGGGTGCAGTGCCTCATTCCAGCCTGCCCCGACCCACGGCGGCGGCACACGTCACCCTAAAGACCCAGTAGCTGGGAGGTCAGTGCCCACAGGCCTTCAGCATCTGGCTCGCATGCTGTTCTCTGAGGCCGCTCCAGGCTGGGCCCCTTCCCGGCCTGCCCCGTCTCAGATGTTGGAATCTGCTTTGTGCCCTTCTGTTCTTGCCAGCGGTCTCCCCCTACGCCCGCCCCGATCACGGCGCTCCTCCTCACTTCCTGCCAGGGCCTGTGTCCCTTCCCTGGAATGCAGGCTCCCACACTGCCTGGCACTGGAGCCCACCTCGGCCAGCCTGTCCCCTTCACCTGCCATGGGTACCGGTTCTGGGCGGAGTCGCCTTTTTCTCTGTCTATCGTGAGAAGCAGCATATGGAAGCAGAAAGCACAGGAGTCCACATGGGCAGCCACCTGCTGGCGGTCACCTTACGCAAATTATGGACATTCCCAAGCTTCAATTTCCTCATCTGCAGGAGGAGTACGGCAGAGGGCCTCAAACAGTTAAAAGGACACCTGCAAAGAGCAGCCCCAGGGCCTGGCAGAGAACACGTCCCCAGCAGGGGGCAGCTCCCCTTACTCAGTGGGTGCTTCTCTCTTCCAAAGCCTTTGCCTGCACCACGAAGACCAGAGTCAACAAAGGACGGACGGACGGACAGACACGCGGTAGTTCAACTGGGCGCTGTCACGTGGGCCACCATGCTGTCGCCAGAGACTTTGACCCCCGACCCTGCCAAGCGGGTCTAGGAATGTTTTCCTCCTGGTGGTATTTGCACTAGCCGAGGACCGAGAGCCTCAGTTCGCATGCAGCGTCGGGACGCCCACGCATCTCAGACCCGGAGCCCCGCCTCACCCTTGGCAGAATCGTCGTAGCCAATGTGCCTGATGGCACCTCTCACCACCCGCTGGTAGTCCACCGTGGCCGTGGAGGTGATCTCGCCGCACAGCAGCACCATGCCCGTCTTACACACCGTCTCTGCGAGATAGGGAGAACAGTCGGCGGCCACGAGCCAGCGGAGGGGGGCCCCCCTCCCAGACCTCTCGCAAAGGGTCTCACAAGGCATGGATTCCGGACATAAGAGAATAATGCTAACAAACAGAGTAAACCCCAGCAGAAGTGCTGAGCATGGGCAGATGCCGCCCGGGACACTACACTTTGGACAGAACAGGTCACACCTCGCTTTCGCAGCCAGCAAGCCACCTCCTGCTCGCGTCATCTTGAACCACTTATTTAACCTCTCTCGGTCTGCTTGCCCGTCTGCTACCTGAAGACCACAGTTCCACTGGATCGCTGTGTGGATCAGGGTGAGACCACGGGGGTAGGCGGCTGTCATATAGCATGTATCCGGGCCGCCTCTCCCGCCCCTTCTTGCTAATGCTGCACCGCAGGCTGAGATCCTGAGATCAAGGTGGGCCAAGCTTCTCACTGGCTAGTCACAAAGATATCAGGGTGAGGGCCACCCTCAGAGGGCACAGGTCCCTGCGGCACTCAGTGCAGGGGCTAGGGCAGCGCTGGAGAGGGAGGAAGCCGTCTGTGCGGCACACAGTGAGGACAGGGGGGCTCTGGTCTCCATGCGGGCACCCCCTCTCCTGTGACCTTGGCCAAGGCCCTGATTCAGCTGCATCCATGATCACTTCGGGGCCCTCCAGGTGCTGGGGCCCCTGACTCCCTGCTGTGCCCAGAGCCCCAGCACAGGCACAGGCAGAGGCCTCGAGCCCAGCCCGCTGAGGTCTTCAGCAGGGAGGGAGCGGGCATTTCTTACCACAGGCCACCTTGGCATTGGGGTCCTGCTTCAGATGGGCATCCAGCACGGCATCACTGATCTGGTCACAGATCTTGTCTGCACAAGAACGAACATGTGTGAGAATCACAGAAATATTAGGTAATACAAACTGAAATGTTAAAATAATTAGATATTTGGTAAGTTTACATATCAAATTTACCTACCTAAGAGGACACTTTTTTAAATATAAAAAATTAGGAACTTTTTGAAATTTTTATTTCTTCCCATTTCTGCCTAATTTTGGATGACTTGTATTATGTAAACTCATAGCATTCCCTAAAAAAGAAATACATCCCAAAATCACTTCTAAGAGACTAAAGCAATTCACACACATACACACACACATACACACACACACATAGACACACACACACACACATTCTCCTACTAAAAAGCCTCTTGTTCCTCAAGATATTCCCTTTAAGTCTAAAACCTAGAAAACTCCTAGAAATAGAAGTTAAAATAGCTAACAACATTGGTAAGATTAGGTGCCAACTCGTAAAATCAGATGGGACAAACAGATACGTTGCTCTGCAGGTTCTAGAAGCTGCAGCGTACTGTATATATGATGCTACGCCCAAATCCACCACCCCACCCACAGGAATTCCAGAAGAGAGCCTCTATACATCACTGCTGTTCTGCAGAACTTTTCCATAAGCAGCTCTCAGGTCATGCCCATGGCCACGCAGCCTCCTGAAGGCTAGATGTCCTAATAGCTGGGTTTGACCTCAGTCAAGGTGGGACTGACAACGGCTCAGCATAAGCTGGGATTTGATCTTCTTTTTTCACTACTTGCCTTAAGGACTCTACATGGTTGAGCTTGCAGACCCTCAATGCATTGCACATTGGAAAAATCCACTCTTGTGTTGGGGTTGTGTGAACTGTCACTGTTCACAGTTTCAGAAATAAAAGTGACATCTATTTACACATATTACATCTCATTTAATGTTCAAAATACCCATAGAGTTTGCACTTAATAGATTAATAAGGTTTTTTTCCAGGTTTATCAAGGTATAATTGGTGTACAAAAATCTGCATAAAATTAAAGTATACAATCTGGGGAGTCTGGACATGTGAATACACTTATGCAACCATCACCATAAACAAGGTAATAAACATATCCATCACTCCAAAAGTTTCCTTGTGTCTTTCTGTTTTGTTTTTGCTTTTCAGTTTTCATATTAAGGATCCAGATCCAGAATCAAGTGGTTCTCTCTCACAAGTGCACCATTTAAAATGTTGACGTCAATGCAACTTAAAATATTAATTTGCCATTCAAGGTGAATTCTCTAAACTTTCCTTCAGAAACTGCTACTACACCTTGAGGGTCTCTGTGCAACCTCCCCCCAGTGTCAGATCCTGGTTGTAAATCTAGGTTTGTCCGAGGCCACCCCCTCTGCACACCCCTACCAATGAAGGCCTGCTGATAAAATATCCCTTTTAGGCCTACCCATCAGGACTCCTAGGGCTACTCACATGCCGACTATGGCTGACTCTGCTTCTTCCAAGGACGCAGGTCACATGTCCCCAGTCCACACAGGGAAGTGGGATAAGGGGTGTTAGGGATAAAACTGGAGCTAAGCAAGACGTGTTAACATTGCTCCACAGACTAAAGGAATGCCTAAGGAGGCCCTATCTGAACAGTCTCTTTAGGTTTTCAGAATTTCTATCAATATCGCTCAGTAGCTTTAAGGTAGCCAATAGCTGGTTTTCTTGGAAGTTGAAAAAAGCATGCATATTATCCTCCTGGTGGAGAAGTCAGCACTGGAATGACAAGCAAGCCATCACCAAGCCTTAGGGGAAGCTGACTTACATGGACAGTTAATTGATTTTGGCAAGTGAAAGGAGAGTCAGACAAACTGAAAGCCTACCATGAAGTGGACAAAACAGCTAACTGGTTGGCTAGAATTTTTCTTCTTTGTCCACTGAGCGCACCGCTGTATATACGAGGGGACCACTGGCCACTGCGTGTTAAGGATGCATGTCCACATCCTCTGAGTGGAGCAAATCCTTCTCCTAACCCATGTATGGTCTTCATGTGTTACACACAGAAATGAATCTGAGGTTATGAGCATTGTAGATCTAGAGACTTTATAAAGTTGTGCACAATGAAAGAGGCTATTTGTTTTGAATTGAGCTAAGTCACCTACAAAACCCAGCTTAAGCCAAGGTTTCTCAACAGCGGTACTGTTGACATTTGGGGCTGGAAAATTCCTTGTTGTCGGGGGGAGGGTCTTGTGCATTCAGGATGTTTAGAAGCACACCTGGCCTCTATCCACTAAGTGCCCATAGCACCCCAACCCCTCATGGCAGAGTTATGGCAGACAACCAAAAAAGTTTTCAGACAATGCAAAATGCCCTTAGGGGAAAAGGGGCAACATCGCCCCCTGTTGAGAACCACTGGCTAAAGCATATGGAAAGAGTGGTGGGTGTGAGATGTCCAGAGCTGAGTTACAAGGTATGAGAGAACATGGATGAGGAAGACGAAGAAAAGGTAGCCTTGGTGATAAGTTACCAAAACTTCAAATACTCAAATGAATTTTGAAGAAGTGCTCAAAGACATAAATCAGTGTGTCTAGCCCCCAGGATTCTTCTAGAACAGTAGTTCTCAGAGTGTGGTTCCCACAGCAGCAGAGGACTTATTAAAAATGCAAATCTTGAGCCTCACCCAAGACCTACTAAATCAGAGACTCTGGGGGTGGGCGCAACACTCTGTGTTAGCAAGCCCACCGGGTGATGCCGATTATCCCTGAGGTCTGAGAACCACTGATCTCCAACCTGAGGCTCTGATCATGGGCCTCACTGTTCGCATGTGTGAGCCTCTCCCTTTCCCCAGATCACCAAAAACTGCTCGAATGTTCTTCCTCTTCAGGAGGTCACCTGTACTTCTCTCAGGTAACATACCTGAGGCCTTCAGGACCTGGCGAACTATCTCAGCAACTACTAGAATGTGCTGTTCATGCCTAGACTGCACATGCCTTACACGCCAAACTCAGTGACCGTGGTCTTGTCTGAGGGAAGATTGTCTGTTAACTTGAGTCACTCAACAATAATAAAGCTGTATCCTCCCTGCTCCCCCAAAATATATATAAAGTTGATATTTGATGATATAATATCCCATGTATAATATGTTCCGTCAACCCACTGTGTGTCCTCTGCTGTGGGTGGAGGAGGTGGGCACAGCACGAGCCCTCAGCTTCATTACCTCGCCACTTCTCGTTTCATACTCAGTGACTGTTTTACAAAACTACAAATTAATAGAATGAAAAACACCTCATATTGTGCCTCCAGAGGTCCTGCAGAGTAACCAACACAAACTGTTTTTAAGGCCTCTCGTGAAATGACTCCCCTGGCCGCGGCTGCCATGGGCCCACGACCACCTACTCACCCGGGTGTCCCTCTCCGACCGACTCCGATGTGAACATGAACGCTCCTTCTTCACTTAGAGAATGGTCACACAAGCCATCCACTGGGCCATTCATCTTTGCACGCTTCTCCACGCAGTTTCTTCAAGGGTAACGATTTCAATGCCGTGACTTTGCCTGAGGTTTGTTTGGGTTTTTGGTTTTGTTGGTTTTTTGTTTTTTTTTCCCTTCTGTAAACCCAACAGGCTTGTCTTTGGCAGAGCCACGGGGCTCACTTCTGCCCAACGGCCCGCAAGCACGTGAGAGGGAGGTGAGGATGGTGAGGAGGGAGGAACTGAGCGCAGATGTGTCACTCCCTCCGACTGGTCACAGCTTGCTCCTGAGTGACTCCTATATATGGAAAAGTGAAAGTGCCTGAATAATCATGTGAGAAAATTGGAGGAGTCCATTTCCTGGGAGGGGGTTTTTCTTACCTTGAGGGATTCCAGTCGTCAGCTCGGACGTCCCGAGCGCTAGCGTCTGGCCAGTGTATGGTAAAGTAGGCTGTGTAGATTCTGCAGAACTGAAGCCCCTTTGGGACTCTGCTTCAGCTCTGCAGCTAATCTCCATATTGCTCCAAGGTTAACATCCCACGTTGGGGGGTGGGGGGTCTGTGGTGACTCAGGGATACAAACAGGCAGCCAGGAACTCTTTCCCAGAGATACAGTTTAGGCGAAGACTGCAACACAAGGTGGCGTGTGCTACTGGGTGCTGTCCTTCCTCCCCCACACCTTGTCAGGCTTGGGCTCTCCCCCTTCTTCTACCTTCTCAGAGCTAAAGCATGCACCTGTATTCTGAGTCAGCTTGGATGTTACACAACACATTCATTTAGAAGAAAAGCTTTTGCGCCCATATTTTTCTGCTAATAGAAATCGCCTAAACAGTCAATGTCTCTAAGACGCTGGCAGTCACATTGACAAGCAAAATGTTAAGAAGTATCTGGACAGGTTACAGAAGACAATGCTTTCTTTGGGAAAAGGAGTCTTGAGAGATGGATTCATTACAGGGAAATTATCAGAGTCCAGGTTCCCAAAGCTCCCATAAGATAAATTAAACATCTACCTATTCAGTCCTGTATACCTGATCAACACCCTGCTCACTTAACTCCTACACATTTTTTGCTTTGACCAAGAAAAGAAGTGGACAGGCTTACATCTTTAGCCAATTCAAGCACTAAATGACAGCATCCCACTCTCTCTCTCTTCATTCTCTCCCACCCTCAGATCTAGCTGCATCCTCCGGCCAGCAAAACGGTAGGGAATTGAGATCACAGACAGGGAGAATGGGTGGAGAGACCAGTTCCCACTAGAAGGCAATAAAACGTAAGCAGCCAAAAGCCTGTACACCAAACACTGGACTGTGGGAAGCAAAAGTTAGGGTGCAGTAACCCCCACTAACAATTCTGCTGCCCAAATCCCCTCTATACTCAGAATATGAGCATTTAAAAATTTTTCTCTGGTGCTCCAAATCTTGAGTGTTGCCAACTGGTCAGCAGTAGCAATACTATCCCCCCAGGGAGAAACTATATGAAAGTGACCTCTTTTGGGATGAAGTAAGGGATTCTACATATACATATTTCATCAGAGGCATTTAAGAAAGAGTGCGTTGGAATGCTCAGGCACAAGATTGCTGAAGATCCAGAGAGGAAAAGGCCACTGGGAAGGGATGGAAAAATGAGGATCAAATAGGGACTTTAGACAACATAGCCTTGTCCTTGTCAGCAGACAGGAGTCCTCCTGTTTGCACTTAAAATATTTCAACATCACTGTCCCTTTGCAAATTTCTTCTGGGTACACTGGTTTCAAACCTGGAGGCGATATGAGCTAATGTTTAACGTGAACTATAGACCTAGGTTAGCCTAGCAGCTAGAACTATGGTCATTATGTTTTAACTCTGCTTTAAGAGCAAGATGGAGTTTAAGTAGCAAGTACTCTCCAAGGTCCCAGAGCTGGCAAGAAGTCAGAGCGCAAAGCTGCCTAACTGTCCTTTGAATTCCAGAATGACTGAAAGCATGGGGCAGAGGGGTATGTCCCATACAGGGAAGTGGTGCTTTCGGAGACATAAGCAGAAGGCTTCTGCAGTCTGGACACAAATTCAGAGTGAGGGAAGGATCTGGAAGCACCAAGTTCAGTACCCATCTTATATGTGAGTCTCGTATGACATCCCCACTAAATCTAGGCCACCTTTATATTCTTTCAGCCCATAGATGTTAATAAGCAGTACACAGAACGTGGTGGGTGGGAGTGCGGGCTTCAGGGCTGGAGTCCTGTCTGGCCTCTAACACACTATCCACCCTGGGGCAGGCTTCCTAACCGCTCAGCTTCTGCTTCCTCATCTGTAAAGCAGGTTAAATGATTACCTATCTCACAGCATCATTGTGAGAAATAGATGTGGTCATTCAGGTGGGATGAGGATTGAGCATAGAGCCAGTACACAATAAGACTTTAATGAAATATTACTTAAGCACCTTCTATGTACATAATATATGATTTTCTTAGGTATAAGGATAAAATGCAAGGCCGTAGCAATGCTGAATCAATCAAAAGATTTCCCTCTTCTAGTAAATGTTACCAGTTAGAGAAAAAAAATTGCATTTGCACCAAGAGTTAAAACAGTGGCTTCAATCTACCCCCTTCTGACTTAGAAAACTGAACCAACAGGGACTTTGCCATCATAAACTCAAATTAAAACCTGCCTTACGCACATGCTGTCCCTTACGCATGAATTGTCCTAATGTCCCCCGCACCCAGCTCCACTGATTACCTAAGTCCAATTCATTGTGTCAAAGGCCCGGAGTTGATTTCATTTCCATGCAGCAACCTTCAACTCTGAAGCTTTGCTGACAAGCTCTGAAGAAACTTGGCTTTGAAAACAAATATCGTTTTGGTCAGATTTGCCTGTGATATTAAAACATAAAATACCAAATGAATATAAAATACCAAGCAAATGGCCATGTTTCCAGTAAGCAGTGTATGTAAGGACTGGCCAGTTTTATGAAGGGGCTTTGAGGGCACCTGACCCCAGGTACCTAGTGGAAAGCACCTGGCCGGAGGGTGCCCTTGACCAGCTCCTGCACCTGCCACGCCTGATGGCTATGCCACAGGCAAGAGAGAACGCAGTCTTGATGACCCCAAAACTCTGGATACAGAAGTGGAGTGCACAGTCACTTCTTAAATGCTGTTTAGGTGCAAACAGTTCTCAACTTTGGTGAGAAACTCCCTTAACCTAAATGGCATAATAACCCCATGGAATATTTTCAAAAGATTTACTACTTTTGTCTTCATTAATTGAAGCACAAGCCCTTCCCACATATATCATTCTAGAACATGAATAACTTATTTATAAAAGAAAGATAAATAGATTCATATTACACATTCTTTTAAAATTTTAGGTCATTTCAACAATGTGACTTTGGTTCAGTAAAAAAAAATCCAAATAAGCACTCCATATACAATGGCTATTCTGGAAAGGAAGAAAGAAAGTGTGGAAAGATTTCACGGAAAAAAAAGCAGGATCTGAGCTGGACCCCCAAAGGAATTACAGCATTTTAGAGGCAGCAGGGAGACAGTAAGGCCGTGGGGGCTTTACCAGCCAGGAAGTCTCAGTGTGGCTTAGAGCTGGTGCAGAGGAGCATTGCGCCAACTTTACTGGGAGCTGTGGGGTACATGGGCAGGGAGGTGGAAGGCTGGGAAGGCAGGCGAGGAGCCATGCTGGGAGTCAAGCAAATGGTGGTTTTCTATCTGACAGGAAAATGCAAGCTAGATTAGAGAGGAAAAAATTCCAAAATCAGAGACAAGAGGTAAAACTCCTGCCTTGACCCAGGAGTAGCCTGAAGAGCAACAGACGCTGAGACATTCATATGATGTAAGTCCTGCTCTGCCTTGTTGTTTTTCAAAACTCCATTGCTTCTCTTCCTTAGAATCATCCCTTCCCCCAAACACATCTACCCCAGCTTCTGAGACTTGAGATCCTGAGAGGTTATTTCAATTTCTGATCCTTTACCATCTGTATCCAATTTTCCACAAAGCTTGTCAGCAATTCTTCCTCAGTGGTGCCTTGGAATTCTCCCCCTCCATTTTCGTGTCCACAAATAGTTGCCCCCTGCGCCCATCCTTGTCATCTCACATTTGAATTAGGCACCAGCTGGGCCCATACCAACATACCCTTCAGAGGCTGGTACCATGGTGCACATACTAGGTGCCTTAAAATGGCCTGCTAGTTGGTACCTGGAAAAACAAGCTATCTCTTACACTACCTCACCTCAATTAAGGCGTGCAAACAAAATATTTACACAGTAATAGCTAAACAATCTCCTGGAAATACTCCTATGCTAGAATACCATTCAGCAGTCAAAACATGAACCACAATATCACACACAAAAATACGGATGACTTGAAACAGTATTCAGTGAAAAGGGGGCCAAAAGATAATATACAATCCCCTTTTAATAAAAATAAAATAGGATTTGTAACATGTACTTTTTGGGAATATATAAAGATCCAGTAAAGGATTCAAAAAAGAAAAGAAGGAAGTGAGATCACTGAAAATGGTGGAGTAGAGAACTCAAAAGCTTCCATCCAGCTGTAAAAATCAACTAATAACCTAGAAAAAATCCCGTTTAAATCAACTTTTGCAAAACTCTGGAATCTAGTCAAGAATTTATAGAAAGATTAATAAAGAAAGAGGCTGTCACACTTACTGTGATACTTATTGCTGTCACCCTGCAGTAAGAGAATGCTGTTGCACACCTCATCCTGCACTCCCTAGGTCGATGGTATCCATGAAGATGGTAATTCATGTTCCCAGTGCAGGTTGTTAGTGCAGAGTGAGCAAAACAAAACCTTATTCTCAAATAACTGCGGTTATAATTGTTTGTTTGTTTGTTTTTTTACCTGTCTAGCAGGTCCCAGAAGGACCGGTGTAAGGGCTGGCTTTTATTTTGCCCAACTCAGAGCAGAGAGAATACCTGAAGAAATAATACCTAAAAGCTTTACAAATTTGGTGAGACATCAGTTTACACATTCAAGGTGCTCAACAAACTCCAAGCAGAATAAAATCAAAGAGATCCACAAGGAAACACATTATAGTGAAACTGTTGAAAGACAAAGAAAGAATCTTGAAAGCAGCAAGAGAGAAGCATCTTATCACAAACAAGGAATCCTTAATGATATTAACAGAGATTTCTCTTCAGAAACTGTGGATGCTAGAAAGCAATGGGATGACATATTTAAAGTATTGAAAGGGAGGGGGGAAACCCTGTCAATCAAGAATTCTGTATCCAACAAAACTATCCTTCAAAAATGAATGAGAAATTAAGACACTCACAGATAAATAAAAACTAAGGGAGTCTGTCCCAGTAGACATGCCTTGTGTAGAATGCTAAAGGAAAGCCTTCAGGCTGAAATGAAAGAACACTGGACAGTGACTCAAAGCATACAAAGAAAGAACAGTGGTACATGCACAGGTACATAGATAAATATAAAAGTATTATTGTGTTTTTTTCATTTATAACTCCTCTTTTTTATTTAAAAGACAAATGTATAAACGAATTATAAATCTTTGTTAATGGACACACTACCTATAATTTGTAATTTGGGACAATAACAGCAGGATAGGGGAGACAGAGTTATAAAGGATCAGTGCCTTCATATGCTACTGAAACTATGTTGGTTTTAATTCAAGTTTGATAGTTTTTAAGATGCT